AGGAAAGGAACATAGGCTCAGAAGCAAGCTGTGGAAGCAGCTCAGCATTCGCACATCAAAAGCCCTGCCCACGTGAAACAGTAACCTTGGCGGGGGACACGGGATCATCTCAGGGGAATCTCCCAGCCCAGCCCCACCCCCAGGGGGCTATTCCGCCTAACACCACTGCCTTGAGGAGGCCTTGGGAGGTAGAAGAGGACAGGCTGTGCCCCACATCCATAGGAACCCATTCTGAATGCAGGCTGGGCGCTCGGGTCCTTGCCCCCTCAACCTGCTCGCTGCCAGTCCCTGCCGCTCGTCTGAAATGCTTTTCTTACAGGAAGGTAAGAACCTCTGTTCTGGCCGCCTCCTGCAACATCTGTTTCTCTTCTCTCTGCCTTTCCAATAAATAAAATAAAAAGCATTAAAACAGAACATCAAGATGCTGGCAGACCCGGCCTCTGGGGAGGGCCACTTTGTCTTTCGGGCTTGCAATTGGCTGTCTTCTCCCTGTGCCTCCCTCTTATAAAGGCCATGGATCCCATCCTGGGGGCCTTGTCTTCATGCTCTTGTCCAAGCCCAATTCTCTCAAGGGTGCCACTGCCAAAGCCACCATGTGGGAATGGCGGTGGGGGGGGGGGCCACAAAGGTTCAGCTCATACCGCATCACCCCGGGCCCCACAGCTCCTGCCCTTTTCACACGAGAATACATAAAATACATTCACTCCATGCCCATGCAGTCCCAGAAGCCTCACCTGAGTCTGTCACCGTGTCACCAGCTTGCCTCCCTTCCTGTTTGCTGATGGAGTAATGCCTTCTAGCTCAGAGAGACGAAAGCAGGGAGAGTGAAGCCAAAGAACTGGGCCAGTCAGGAGAGCAGATGGCCCCTTTCTTCCTGGTTTGGGGCTGTTTATCCTTAAGAGATGAGGAGTGTTGACTAGTGAGGAAGCCATGACACTCCTGATTGGCATGTGTGATTGACAGCTGGGAATTGTATATCTTTGGGCTGTCTGCACATGTGGTTTTAAATTAGACTTTTCTGGGTTGGCTGAGCTCCCATTTTATCAGGATACTTTAAGCACAAGTTAAACTGCCAAGTAAGTGGTCTTGAATGGGTCCCAGCAGAGGGCAGGGTCCCTGGTGCCTCTGCTGGATGAGGGGTTTGTGGCCCCTCCCCAGCTGCTCCTGCCTACCTACCTACCTGACATCACAGCATCCTCATGTAAAGATGATCTAAAGCATATGCGAGTGGGGCCAAGTGTTCAACCCATCCTGAGGCAAAATTCCTCTCCAGCGGTGAATCTGTGAGCTCGGGTAAGTTGTGTGTGCTTCCAAAAATCTGAGTGGGACCGACATACCATGACCTTCCTGTTAAAAACAGGAGAAGTGAGACAGAAGTGAAACAGGAGAAGTGACAGCTCCCAAACAAGTCCAGCATCTAGCCAGGCACACCTCATCCGATCTTAAGGCTGAAGAAGAATTCTGTTGGCTTACAAGGTTCTGCCCTCGGACCCATGCAAGCAATAATTCCGCCTCCTTGTGCCTTTGCCAGGCAGGTGCTGTCTCCAAGGCTCAGAGACCACACCCCTCGCCCTGGGAAGCCTGGGCTGACCTGCGGAAATCAGAGTGATGGCTTCCGCTTTTAGAAACCAAGGACACAGCCCCGAGGATCCCTGACTGCCCCGTGGAGATGGTTGCTCCCTGGTCTCGAGCCCAGCTCGCGCTTGCAGCTGTGGTGCTCTCTGGTCTGGTCCCGTGGGGGTCCAATGAGCCCCACAGCCTTCCTGTGTCACCCCGCGTCTCCTCCTCAGAGCAAACTGGCCACCTTCCTGCTGTGGCTCACATCCGTTCCCGCCTCTCACTCACAGCGCTGTCCGGCCACACCCTTCGAGTTTCTGGTTCTTTGCAAAATGGTTAGGGTGAGAATTTTACAAACCTTTGAGTTCTGATTCCTTTTTGGTTAAAATTTCTTTTTCAATTCCATTTTCTTTTCTCACATTTTATTATAAGTAGTCGGGAAGAACCAAAGTCACGCTTTACACACTTGGCTTAGATATTTCCTTAGCCAAGTACCTGATTCCGTCACTAGAAGGCAAACGTTATTCAGCCAACTTCTTTTCTTTTCTTTTCTTTTTTTTTTTTTTTTGGACAGGCAGAGTGGACAGTGAGAGAGAGACACAGAGAGAAAGGTCTTCCTTTTTCCGTTGGTTCACCCCACAATGGCCACTGCGTTGCGCCAATCTGAAGCCAGGAGCCGGGTGCTTCTCTTGGTCTCCCATGTGGGTGAAGGGCCCAAGGACTTGGGCCATCCTCCACTGCCTTCCCAGGCCACAGCAGAAAACCGGACAGCAAGAGGAGCAACCGGGACAGAATCTGGCACCCCTACTGGGACTAGAACCCGGGGTGCCGGCGCCACAGGCAGAGGATTAGCCTATTGAGCCATGGTGCCGGCCCATTCAGCCAAGTTCTTGGCCTCTTGGCAGCAAGGATCACCTTGCCTTCCTTGTGCAGTGATGTGTTCCTTGTTTCTCTCTGAGCCCTCCCAGGGATGCCTTTATGCTCGTGAGCATGTAGGTATTCCCGAGGACTGCAGCTTGCCCTGCAGCTCTCTCCTTTCTGCTCCCTCACCAGAATCACTTGTGAAAGTCAGCTCATGGCCGGTGCTGCGGCTCACTAGGCTAATCCTCCACCTTGCAGCACCGGCACACAGGGTTCTAGTCCCGGTCGGGGCGCCGGATTCTGTCTCAGTTGCCCCTCTTCCAGGCCAGCTCTCTGCTGTGGCCCGGGAAGGCAGTGGAGGATGGCCCAAGTGCCTGGGCCCTGCACCCCATGGGAGACCAGGATAAGTACCTGGCTCCTGCCTTTGGATCAGCGCAGTGCGCCAGCCACGGTGGCCATTGGAGGGTGAACCAATGGCAAAGGAAGACCTTTCTCTCTGTCTCTCTCTCTCACTATCCACTCTGCCTGTCAAAAAAAAAAAAAAAGAAAAGAAAAAAAGAAAGAAAGAAAGAAAGTCAGCTCACGCTCAGCCAGGCTTTTCCTAGCATGTGTCTCAGCTGCGGCCATGACCCGGTCCCCCTGCTTCTTCCACGCTGGTCAGTGTGTCAAAATGCCTTAGACAGGTGGCATGGACAACAGGGGCTCCTTGCTCGCAGTTCCAGAGGGGCTGGCCATGGCCTTTCCTCATTGCCTGTTTGTAGACTTTCTATCTCTCTCTCTTTCTCTCTGTCTCAGAGCACTGATCACCTCATGAGAGTCCCAACCTCATGACCTCATTCAAACCCAAAGGTTCCCAAAGTCCCCAACTCCAAATACCATCACATTGGGTGTTAGAGCTTCAACACGTGAATTTGGGGGAAACACAAGCACTCAGTCCATAGCGTGCTGATATTGTGATTAGTCCTTACCTTACCAGTGAAATGTGATACCTTGAGTTTCGTATTTGTTAGGTATTTCTTGTTTTTCTTGGTGCAAAGAGCTACTTTATGTCCTTTGTCCATTTTTCTACTGAGGTGTTTGTTTTTAACTTTAGTTAGTCTCCACATTGTAAGGAGACTAACACTTTAATACACAGGGTGTACAATTTTCTGGTTTCTTTTTCTTCTGAAATTTGCTTTATTCCCTTGGAATGGCCGATTCCATATGGAGTGCCCAATATCTAGTTCCACCTCCTCTTTGGATCCAGCTTCATGCCAGTGTGCACCTGAGAGGTGGCAGGTGATGGCTCAAAGGGTCCCTGCCACCCACATGGGAGACCCGGATTGGGCTTCTGGCCAGCGCTGCATTGAGTTTCTGGCTCCCAGCGCCTGGCTGACACAGGTCCAGCTGTGTGGCCATTTGGAGAGCAAACCAGTGGATGAAAGCTCTACCTCTATCTCTGCCTCTCTATGCCTTTTGAATAAAATGAAAGTAAAACATAAAAAATCATTTTTAAACTGATTTTAATGCATGCGTAAATCAATTAAAAATAATGTTTAATTTTAATTAATAAAAACTTTAGAGTTTCTAAACATGATTAAGTAGCTCACTAGTTTTCTTTATGATTCTTGCTTTGATATCATTTATAGAAGCACTGAATAACTTTATGATTGTGGAAATTCAACAGAGAAAGCTAACAAGAACAATGGTGAAGTTAATCATCACTGCCATTTTTGAGTATTACTATGTATCAGTATTTGCTTTCCATACATTATCCATCTAATCTCCCCAAGAAATTATTATTCCCATTCTACACAGCAGGAAACTGAGGCTCAAGAAGACCAAGTGCCTTGCCCATTCTCATAGGACTTGGCAAGTGTTCACTGAAATCCAATCCTTTCTCCATGAACAAACTGACTCTGGACTTGGTAAACTGAGCAGACACGGGTGCCTGCCCTGGCTCCCCTGTGCCAGCTGCCAGGTGCGTCCCCCTGTGCATGTCCCATCTGCCCTCTGAGACATGTTTATCACTCCCTGATGGAGTTGTTAAGGACTTTCTTTCCTTTATTTATTTTGAAAGGCACAGTTCCAGAAAGAGGGAGAGAGAGAGAGAGAGAGAGAAAGAGATATCTTCCATCCACTGGTTCACTCTCCAGATGGAGGAGCCAGGAGCTTCATGCGGGTCTTGGGCCATGTTCTGCTGCTTTCCCAGGCTCATTAACGGGGAGCTGGACCAGAAGTGGAGCAACCTGGACTCAAACCGGTGCGTATATGGGGATGCCAACGTCGCTGGTGGGGTCTTTATCTACTAGGCCACTGCGCTGGCCCCTGATGAGGAATTTCAGTGAGAGAAATATATAGAATGTTCCTGGCACCAGGAGAGTGGATGTGAGAGAGCCGCTCCACCAGCCTGCTTTGCTGGAGCCCTTTCTCTTTCTCTGCCCTCTCTCTGTAGGTGCAGAATTCCCCTGCACAGCAGGCTGAAGTGAGATGACTCAGAGGCCTCCCAGAGCGTCCCACCCTGGGGCGTGGCCCTGGAGTCCTCAGCGAGGATGTCATCGTGTCTGTGTGTGTGTGTGTGTGGTGTGTAGGCGGCAGAGGCGGGGCTACGCAGGGGGATCTCTGCAGGACTCAGCCAGCACCTGCTTCTACGGACAACCTCGTTGGGTGCTGCTCTGCCAGCACTTGCCCTGTTGGTCCCGACATACACGCCGGAGCCATGGGCACCTTCCTAGGACACCTGATGCCTGCAATGTTCTTCCTCTCGTACTCACTCTATTATTCAGTGCTGGTGTCTCTGGCCCTGCTGCGGAAACAGAAGGTCCTCAAGCCACCTCTCTCCCCAAGAGAGAAGCGAGGGCGGTGGCAGCTGGTGCCAGGGGAAGGAGCGGCAAAGGTGAGCATCGCGCTGATAGGCATCTTAACCGAGTGGTTCTTCCCCCCAGGAGTAAACCGGCTGGTGATAATCGACTGGAAAGACCCACAACGGTCATTCTTGTTCAAGGACGCCTGGCACCACATCACCATGTACGGGTTCTTCGTGTTCAGTGGCGTGGTGGACATCATGAGCCAGTGGCGTCGGGAGCGGCAGTGGGTAAAGCTGGAGCGAGCAGCCGAGGCCTTGGCCTTCTATGTGCTGGCGCTGCTGATGGCAAACCACCTGGAGAACAAGAGCACCCTGGAGATCCGAGTGCACGTCCTGTTCATGGTGCCCGTCCTTCTGGTCGCCCTGGTGCTCAGCATCGAGGTCTGGGTCCCTGAGCAGCCGCAGCTCTGGGTGCTCAAGACCTGGATGGGGCTCGTGCTCAGCAGCTGGTTGCTACAGCTCAGTGTGTTGCTGTACATGCCCCCCTCCGGACAACCCTGGAGGGCAGACAACCCCACGGACATCGCCTTCCTCGGCATCTTCTTCTGCTGGCACCTGGCCTTGGGGATCGCCATACTGGCCACTACCTATGGCCTCTGCAGTCTCTGGCACCATCGCTTCTCCTCCTGGACAGAGGCCACTGGTGCTGGCTACAAGCTGTGCCCCACAGACTCCAGAGGCGAAGAGCTGGAGAAGCTCAAGGCAGAGGCCGTGCTGCAGGATGGAGGCATTTAGGTGCAGACTCTTTGTGCTATGCCGGTTGTGAGCAGTTTCAAGGCTGCCCTACCACATGCATGGCATGGAAATATCTGGAATCCGCAGTGTGGTTTCCATCCCAGGAACCATCTTCTTTGTTCCCAAATAAAGCTTCCAGCTCCTAAGGTGACTGCTGATCCATCCTTCTGTGATATCCAGGTCTGTGTCTTTTCTGTTCACTCGGTGTGATCCCCAGCAGGGCACATGTGAGATGGGAGAGCAACTCAGTGCTTCTCTTTGGCGGCTTTTGGGCTCCAAGGGAAGGGAGAGACAGGAGGAAATTGAGACTGGTGGGGACTTGGCGAGGTGGCGTCTGTTGTCCGCCGGCGGTTCAGCGTGTGCTGGGTGTGCCTGCAATGGCAGCATTTCAACACGAGGAGGGAATCTGGTCTGGCACAATGGGCAGGTTCTTGTTGTCTGCATTCCTGCCTGGCTTTTTATTTACCCCCCCATAGTAGCACTGAGGCTGAAGCACAGGTGAGCTGTGGTTTTGTTTTTCAACCTAACCTGAGTGAAACTACTTCTGATGCCGAGGTTAGGGCTGGAGGCTGGAAGTCAGGCAGTTTAGCGGAGTCTCCAGGCTGGGGAGCAAGGAGGCCTGAAGCTGCCCAAATGTCAGGACAGAAATGAGCATGGTCTCAGGACAAGTGTTGATTGTTTTGTGCTTTGGTCCAAAAAAGCTCCACTATTCCAGCTGTTTCAGAAACGCCTGCATATGCCTTGTGGGAGTGATTCTGGGCAAAACCAAAGGAAAGGCTCAAATCTCAGTTGATGAGAGCAGAGGGCAAAGAACTGCCACGAAGCTGGGGTGAAGAGGGGGCTGTCAGGGAGCTCCATGGTTCTGCAGATGCCGGGACTCAGAGCTGAGATGGAACCCGAAAACGTCAGCCCCTGGCGTTTGCAGCAACGTTCAGCCCATCGTGTTCCAGCCAGAATGAGCAGTAAATTTGTATGTTAATGAGAACAGTGAAGTAGATGACAGCAAACAATTTAAAAATGATTTATGCCTGGGCACTATTAGAAATCCATTGCTTCTAATAGCATGAGTCAGCTTCAGTGGGATGGATAAAGCCACCATTTGGAAGTTGGAAGAGGCAGGAAGAACAGAGGAGATGGTGGCAGCAGATTGGAGAAGGAACATAGAGGAAAACGTCGGGGTGGGCTTTGTAGCGCAGTGGGTTAAGCTGCTGCTTGGAATGCCTGCATCCCATATCACCTCTGCTTCTGATCCCGCTTCCTGCTTATGCGTCCTGGGGGGCAACAGATGATGGCTCAAGTGCTTGGGCCCCTGCCATCTTTGCTGGAGACCCAGATGGAATTCCAATGCCTAGATTCAGCCTGGCCCAGCCCTGGCTATTGTGGGCATTTGGGGAGTGAACCAGTCGATGGAAGATCTCTCTCTCTCTCTCTCTCTCTCTCTCTCTCTCTCTCCCTCCCCCTTCTTTGCCTTTCAAATTGATGAAAATAAATTTTAAAAAAGAATAAAAGTATGCATCATGAGGCTGTTACAATCGCACCCCCAGCTAGCAGCCAGAAATGCTCCCTATGGAGACTGTCAAGCTCTAAGCAGCAGAGAGAGGGCTGCAGGATGCCAGATCAGTGCGCCGCACAGGGCCATTTGAGAATACCTCTGGACACACTCGGGAAAAGCAGTGCACAGGAATTTGAAAAGCAGGCCCGGGGCCCTGGGATGAGGGGGTTCTATCAGAGCAGGGAGCAAGGAAGGGAAAGGAAAACAGGTCAGGACCCTGGAGGAGAGGCAGCCTGGATCTCAGAGGAAGAGAACTGCGTCTTTCTCAAGCAGCTGGCACCAGGCCAGGCCCAGCTAACTCCCCAGCCCGGGCAGAGGAGGACCCGAGCCAGGGAAAGGCCATCCTCCTTCTTTCTGTCACCACCCAAAAAAACGCAGAAGCAGAGCCAGACTGGTACCCTGAGACCGATAAAACTTAAGCTTCAAAACCCCTTACCTTACATGTCCTGTCCAGGGGCCCAGAAGGAGCCTTAGTGAGGTGTTCACAGGACCACACGTCACTGAACATTTGCAAAGGCTATTTTTTTCTTGGATTCTTTTTCCTAAAAGAGATGCTCCAAATTGTATGAGCCCTGGAGACTTCACACAAGTTGATTCTCAGGATGCCTTAGGGTCAACGTGGCTCCCCAGCTCTTGGGGGGCAGGGGTCATTTTTTGTTAGAGACCAGTGGTAAGACTCTTCCTTCTTCAACTTGGAAAAGAGAGGCTTAAAATGTTCGTGACATCACACACTGATGGGAAGGCTAGAGTCACAAACAGGAATGAGCAGTACAGAGCCTAGGCCTGGTTTGGGAAAGGGGACTTAGAGGCTTGGTGGGGGTGGTGCGGGACAGGAAGAGTGATTGACAGAGGTTGGTCCTGTTTGTCTTCTCTTGGGCTGTGTGAGAACTTCCTGCACATCTGGCCGCTGTCCAGGGTGTTAGTGTTAGGATATGGACAGAGAGATAGATAAATGATAGAGAGATAGATAGATAATGGGTAGATTGGTAGATGATAGATAATAGACATATAGAGAGATAATATAGAGGTAGATAGATGATAGTTAGTTTATAAAGATAGATACAGGGGCCAGCACTGTGGTGCAGCAGGTTAAAGCCCTGGCCTGAAGCACCAGCATATGGGCTCCGGTTCTAGTCCCGGCTGCTTCTCTTCTGATCCAGCTCTCTGCTATAGCCTGGGATAACAGTAGATGATGGCCCAAGTCCTTGGGCCCCTGCATCCATGTGGGAGACCCGGAAGAAGCTCCTGGCTCCTGGCTCTGGATCGGTACAGCTCCAGCCATTGCGGCCATCTGGGGAGTGAATCAGCATACGAAAGACCTCTCTCTCTGTAACTCTGTCTTTCAAATAAATAAAATAAATCTTTAAAAAAAGATAGATATAGGCCGGCACCGCGGCTCACTAGGCTAATCCTCCGCCTAGCGGCGCCGGCACACCAGGTTCTAGTCCCGGTCGGGGCGCCAGATTCTGTCCCGGTTGCCCCTCTTCCAGGCCAGCTCTCTGCTGTGGCCAGGGAGTGCAGTGGAGGATGGCCCAGGTGCTTGGGGCCCTGCACCCCATGGGAGACCAGGAAAAGCACCTGGCTCCTGGCTCCTGCCATCGGATCAGCGCGGTGCGCCGGCCGCAGCGCGCCGGCCACGGCGGCCATTGGAGGGTGAACCAACGGCAAAGGAAGACCTTTCTCTCTGTCTCTCTCTCTCTCTCACTGTCCACTCTGCCTGTCAAAAAAAAAAAAAAAAGATAGATATATAGATGACAGATGTTGATAAAGATAGATAGATAGAAGACAGACAGACAGACAGATAGTGAGATTTTACAGAATTGGCTTGTGAGATTGTGAGCACTGGCAAATCCATAATCTGCGGAGCAGGCCAGTGACCCAGAAAAATGTTGGTGTGCCAGTGTTGAGTCCCAGGGCATTCTTGGAGGCAAAATTCCTTCTTCCTCAGGAACCCCATTCTTCACCTCTAAGATCTTTATTGGATTTTAGAGGGCAGTCTGCTCCCTCAAAGTCTACTGATTTAAATATTAATCAGATCTTTCAAATCCCTTCACAGCAACATCTAGGCTGATGTGTGACTGAACAGCCAGGTGCCATAGTGTAGCTAAGCTAGCATAAAATGAACCATCATATCCTGCATACTGGAACATGGGCCACTCAGACATGGTTTATATCAATTGCATTTGCCATGATTTTTGGAGACCTTCCAAATAGCAAGAGCTTCATTTTATTTTATTTGATAGGCATAATTACAGAGAGAGGCAGAGAGGGAAAGAGATATCTTCCATCCGCTGGGTAACCCCCCAAATGGTCACAACGTCCAGGGCTGGTCCAAGCCAAAGCTAGAAGCCTGGAACTCCATCCATGTCTTCCATGTGGGTGGTAGGGGACCAAGTATCTAGACCACCTTTTGCTGCTTTCCCAAGAACATTAGCAGAAGCTGGATTGGAACTGGAGCAGCCAAGACTCAAACTCGCACTCATAAGGGATGCTGGTGTGGCAGGTAGCAGCCTAACCAGGCACTTCATTGTAAAGAAATTTCATCCTATGGGTTCTGACTGCTGCCTGGACTTTCCCCTTTGGGTTCTTTCTAGTGGGCGAAAGAGTATGGAAGGTGCAGGAGGTGATACTTATTTTCAAAGATTAAAAATAATATTTAGAGGATTTTTAATATGGTTATGAACATTATACATTTTAAATATCTTAGAAAGTCCTGAAAAGTATTTTGAAATCTACCTAATGCCCTCATCCAGAATTAATTACTACCTGAGAGAGCTAAGTGGATGGGAAGTTATTTCAAAGGCAGAGTGGATGACAGGGTTTATATTTTAAAGGTGAAACCTTTGCTGGTGATGACTAAGAGGGGGTGAGTCAAGAAGTTTGGAGGTGAAGGACACTGAAGATGGGGAAATCCAGATGGGGAGTCCAGCATTGTGGGAAGGCACTGAGGGAGCACAAGGATATGGCGTCAAGACAGCAACCTGGGGCCGGAGGAGCCCCAGAGCCTGGGCCTCAGGGAGCTCTCGGGGTGACCACAAGCACCGAGAGGCACAGAGACAGGAAATGTGTACAGTACGAGCCTCAAAGAAGGGAACGGTCAGGCTTAAGGGGAGGTTTTGTCTTCCCCATAGAGATATTGTGGGGGAATACATGAGATACTACATGTATAACGCTTAATACAGAGCATGGTATACAGTAAATGCTCAATAAATGAGAGACTTTTCTAAATGTGAGAGACTGAATACACAAACGAATGATGACCAAATCCTATATAAACATAGAACCCTGGCCTACAATCTGCCACAAGCAGCCTAGGAAACCCATTCAGTATCTACAGTAACCAGCCCAGGAAGCCTGCTTGCTGCCTGGAACTTGTAGATACACAGAGTGTAGACTTGTAGGAAATCAGTTCACTGCTTCTAGTAATCAGTTCAGGAAGCCAAACGATGACTCCTGCAACAATTGGCTCAAAAAGATAAGGACTTGATTGACAACCAACAGCCTCCTTATTTTTTGGCCCACTTTCAGCTTTTCACCCCACTTCCATCAGTGGGAGCCAAATACCTGCACTTGCTACTGGGATGTTCCCTTTAGCTAGC